ATTTACTTAGTCTCAATTTCTTAAATGTATAACAAAATTCGGAATTTTCAAAATGCTAAGGCTCAGCCAATTTTCAGCTTGAGTCATGAACAATAAAACTTATTGGTTAATTTTTTTTTTGTTTTAGTATTTTGAAGTTGACCAATTGTTACTATATATAAGCAATTGATGATTATAGATGATCTGCACTGTACCAAGGATTTCAGTAATGTGATTATTAAAATCTCCAAAACCATCTCTCCTTGGAACCTTATTCTAGGAGAATAGAAAAATACCTTATATGCCTTGAAAAAGTTGCGGATACAGATGAAGGTCAAAGATGTGCAAGGGCTTGGGAATTATTTGACAATTACAAACAGGAAAGTTTGAAAGTTTTTAATGAATGAGTGGTGTGGTATGGATCTCTGGGATAACTATCATTCAAGACTCTGGGTTGAGCCACAAAGACAGTGTTGGGGCACTAGGATTGCCTGATGTTTAAAAGTCTCTGGGACTACTGACACTGTCAGACCAGATGATCTCTGGGATTGTCTGATGTTGAAATGAAAGTTAGATAGTGATATGAAAGTTAGATGAAAGCATGATATTCAAGAATTTTAGAAATTATTGTTTTAGGGTGACAAATCAGATAAAAAAGGCCAGAGAATGGGAAAAGACATGTTCATGTATGTGGGTTTATATTGATCATTGAACTTTAAGTGTGGCAACAATCAATGGTGCAATTAATAATACAAATGGAAGCATAAATGGTGGAGTGTTCAATGTAGCATTTATGCCAAAGAGAACTAACCAAGAAAAAGTAAAGACACATAGTTTTTTTAACTAAAACTATTTTGTGTTTCTAATTAACTGCAATTTTAATGATAAAGTCCAAAAATGGACTAGGATCGATGACTATTTCCAAAGAACTCCTGAACACCAAAAGGCAATTGTATTTATGAAATATTCAGGTCACAATGATATTTTTTTATAACATTTTCTGATGTATACATAACACAAATAATAACAGGAACAAAATTTGATGGATCATTATTCCATTCCTGATCACAAAGAAGTTATTATGGAAAATGTTGATAACAAAGATGCTTACACAAAAAACATCCAACAATCTCATGAGGTAGTGAACCTTGCATAACTTTAAGTTGCAGTTTGACTCACCTGATCTCTGATTATGTCATATTTTCAAATTCGCAGAATGTGATGGAAGAAGTTTGTAGCAAGATACAATGTATCAAATGTCCTCAATTTAAGTCAGGTTTGGCAAATTGACTGGTCCATTGCCATTAATAAAATACTAAATATGGTTAAAGAGTTACACTAATGCACCTAAGGGACTACACATTTGCCAACCTTGCTTTAAGTATAGGGTTGTAAATCTTTCAGCATGAGATGCCTCAGATCCTGTTAATAAGTTAACAGAATCTGAAAAGAGCCTCTTAAAGAAGATCTGGAATTCAGTATCAAATATTTTTTTCTTGTAATTTTGGCCTCCATCCAAAATTTTTGCAGCTTTATTTAATTTCTTGTAGTTTGAGTCTTCATGTGAAATAAAGAAAATCTGTCTAAATTAATGGAAAAAAGATTTATGCCTCCTTTAAAAAAGTATCAAGCCCGTTTTGAAAACAAATCAGCATTTGACACAATTTCATTGGATGATGCCATCAAGGATATTCTTGTGGCACTATATACAAGCATTTTTGTACATAAAGAATACTTTGATCTATTATGTATCCAAGACATTTATAAACGATTGTAAGCATTCATTATTATTTTTATTTTACATTGTGTTTTTTAATTTATTTCTTTTCAGATCACCTATTAACTTGTTATTGGATCATGAACAAACAGAACTTTCTTACCATGAAGATTTCATCAATACAATAATTGCAAAGTTTTTGATGATATCATGGACCTAATTCGGGTGGAGACATGAGTTTGAGATTCATCCTTGTTGAAAAAATTTCCTTTTAATAAGTCTTCTGTCTATCAGGGTTTTTTCTTTGCATAGAGGAGAAATTGAAAACAAATTAAGCAAAAATCAACAAAACAAAACTCGACAATACAAACAAAGAATCCAAATTGATTGTTACAATCAATGTTAATGCAATTATCTTTTGAGATTGGTTTCTTAGAAGTTGTTGGAAGTGCTATTTATGTTGACATTACAAAACTAAATGAAGAGACAGAGAAAATTTTTAAATGCATGTAGATATCTATATTTTACCAATGCTAACATCACTTACAACACGGAGCAAAAGAGCAACAATTCACTTCCTTGAAACCTTACAGAATCATTGTATATCGTAAGTGACATGGATTTAATATCACATATATTAAAGCAAGTTATTGTTGACCCTTTCTTTCATTACCTTAGAAAGAACATTTACAATCTATGTTTTGCATCAAAATATGTTATTGATAAACTAACAGAATTCAGTGTTCCGAACTCAGAGGACCAATTATATGTCCTTGGAGAGTTTCATATTAACTATTTTTATATAGGGGTATTTCTATATATCACTTAACAAATGGGACATTATAAAACTGTTGATTATGATCACATTACAAATGACTAAATTTTGATCCTCAAAATACTTAGTAGTGCGAATGTTCACTTTGTCTGGTTTTGTTGCAGTATGCCCCATATTAATTTGGTCTTTAAAATTTTGGATTGTAAACCAAACTAAAGCAAACTGTTCAGAGCTTTAATTGCACACTTGGAATATACTGATTAAATTTTCTCACATATGAGGCCTTTTCAAAGTTGGTTCCTTAAAAGTTTCATTTCTGAATAGTCTTATATGGTATTATTATTACTCAGATGATGCAATTTATCAAATTTATTTATTTACAATTTCAAGGCAAAGAGTATTCATGTTCAAGGAAAGTATTAAATAGTAATAAAAAGTAATACTATATATAAAAAGTGAATATAACAGAGGCTCAAGATCCTCAAGCAATTAGTCCTATAATTTTTTGTTCAATGATTAAACCAAAGGTGAGCAATCCCTATGCCTATTGTTTCACTACCACAAAAAATCATTATTACAATCTCCTTCAAGGTAAACAATCATGTCATGTAGTCATTCAACATAAGATTATAATAATACAGTCAGGATTATTACCAAATTTGGAAATCGAATCTAGAAGAATTGGAACTCCTTTGTCGATCAATTCATATGTGTGGCAAACGAGTTAACGTGATATTTTGCTGCCTTTTGAAAATCTTTTTTTTTTTTAATTATAATAATAATAATCAAAATAAACAGTATTGAACTTGCTTTTTCATAATCTACTAAAAATC